GTAGACCATGATAAAGGTGCATCTGGGGACTTGCCTTAGACGCCAGCGTCTAACACACTAGGGCAGAAACTAGGAATATGTCCTATCTCAACCCAGGAAATAAAAACTGTTCCTCCTAACATAGAAGAAAAACGGCACATTCACCAGAATAAAACTCACCTAATACTAGAAATGAGACCATGATTGGAAAGAGGGTGCCAAGCCCACTGCGGAGGGAAAGACAGGAGAGAACTGGAGTCCAGGGCCAGGGATCGGCACAGCCCCCTGCTGCTTCATATGGTCAGCAGAAGCCCCGAGTATCACGTCACCCAGCATCACTGGTCCCCACCACCTCCTGCTCTCCCCCTCCACTCACCTACGGGACACACTGTAGCTCCACGGGACACACTCAGCCTGTCCTGCTGAGTGTTCCTATAGAGTATCTGCCTTTAGTTTTCGAAGAATCTTAGAAACCTTATTCTCCACTTACATGCAGTTTTAAATACATCTCAAAATGGAGTCTTACATATGTTCTTGAAAATATTTAGCTGGGATTCTCAACAAATGTCCCTGAACTCTGGTTTGGCAGATTCCTTTGTCTCCTGCCACCCCCAAAGTTGAACTTTTCTTTGGCCGACATGTCTCACGACATGCCATAAAGGTTATTCTAGACAAACTCGATTCCTTCCTACATTCAGATCCTCAAACCACAGTAACAGGAATATTCTCGCTCACCTGGCTCCTCCCCGGCCCCTGCTCCAGCTTCCCACCATGATAACAGGAGGAAGGAGAACCAAAGGTGGCTAGCCAGGGCAGGCCATGCTGGGGGTCTTGCGGGGACACTTGGATCCTGTAACCCTCGCAGCCTTTTCAGTCACCCTAAATAAATGTGCATTCTAAGAAAAAACTACTTATTTTGCAAATGTAGCTTCCAGTTCCTTAGCTCTCCACTCCTCCCCCTCCTCGGGCCTCCAGAGTGCCACCTTCTAAATCCCTTTCTATAGAAATCCTAAGCCTGTTCTTGGCAAGGGCAGCTGTCTCCACCCTTCCTCGGGTGCAGGCGGTTGGCGGGAGCAGTAAAAGGCAGGCTGGTTGCTCAGGGCCCCAGGACTTGGAGGGGGATTGGTGAGCGAGAAGCTCTTCCTGCCCTCCAGGCCAGCTGGCAGTTGGAAGGAGTTCAATTTCTCAGACCACAGAACGGTAGGCACCATTCAGACAGGTTAAGTACTCGCCACTCTGACTTCACACCACCCAGGCTCTCCAGCAAGACAGGGTGTGCTACTTGCATGACACAGTAAGGAAACTGCTCAAATCGGATGCTGCCTTTTTTTAACAGGGCTGCTAACTTCAAGCAAGAGCTCTGCTTGAAGTACTGCTATCAGAACAGACAATCTGTGTCCTGCCTTCAAAATTCCATGTTGGACAAGGTTCTTGGATGAAGTACATTGGAAAAGCCCTGCAGAGCAACAGCTGAAAATACCCGATGATGCAATGAAGGAAAGTTTTACTTTTCTCTGGCTCCCACAGGGTTCACCTCTGGCCACAAGTCGTCCTGAGTCACTATCTCTCAGCAGCTTGCAGGACATGGAGAGGGAAGGCATGGCGAGGAAGCTGCCATTTTCTACTGTTTCCTGCATGATCAGGGTTTGAACTGGACATTAAATGCTTCACTAGTAGGCTTACTCCTGAGAGAGAAATACGAAGACGCAGAGCCAATTTGGAAGGCAGGCACAGGGATTAAAGCCAAGGAGGGTAACTAGACCTGGGCAGGAAAGCGTGCAGAGCAAAGAGCTTCAATTCCTAGTGTCCTTTCAAGGTGGAGAGATGTCACACTTAAGCACCTTTTATAAGACAATGAATAATGAGGAATCATATACCATAATATAAATGGCAGACAAGACAAAGGGAACCTGCTTTACGCAGAAATATTTTTAACCAGCAAAGTCTATGTGTTGCCTGTATAAAATAAACATGTTTTGTTTTGTTTTTAAGTGGAGGGAAGTAGTAGTCATGGAGACGAAACTCAGTCATCCATCATATGAATGAGCCCCATTGTGATGTACTCAAAAATGCATAGGTTAGAGGTATGCTTTATCATAATGACTCATGAGTCTTGAAGTCAAGCAAATTAGAAAGAAGGTAGCACCATCCAGCTCACCTGTGTAGGGTACTTTTTTTTTTTTTTAAAGAGAAGAGAGAGAATTTTTTAATATTTATTTTTCAGTTTTCGGTGGACACAACATCTTTATTTTATTTTTATGTGGTGCTGAGGCTCAAACCCAGTGCCCCACGCATGCCAGGCTAGCGCGCTAACCGCTTGAGCCACATCCCCAGCCCTGTGTGGGGTACTTTTATATGTGTGGTATTTACTTTCAAAGGAGTCCATGTAAGCTAATAAAGCTACTCAGATCTCCACTATTATCCTCTGTTCAATTCTCAATTCACAGTGAAAACACTCCCCATCACCACCACACCAATTTATCACTCTGGGCAAAAAAAAAAAGTAGCAAATTGGTAAAGAACATTCGACAATTGTACAGGGATGCTCATTTCTGACCAGGCTCTTAGCAGGACCAGTGAGAATAGAAATGGCTTGCTGATGCCCTGGAGTGTCTTATTACTCATCTAATGAGAAAAACACTTTGAAGAATTTAAAATTAGTTTAGTTTGGAATATGATTTTGTTCTTTTGTTTTTCAAATAATTTTTAAGAGTCATTATGGGTTTGTTTGGTTTTAACACAGCCTAAAAGCAAAATTGCTTTTAGAGTAAAACTGAATAAAAAGAAGTATAAACAGGAAAGTGTGAGTGACAATGTACACAGTGGGAAAAGGACACAGAGAACAAAGGGGAAGGGGATTTAAAGAGAAAATGTCTATTCAAAGAAAATCAGAAGAGTCGACTCTGTTCTAGAGAACTGTGGAAAGCACAGCTTGCCTTCACCCACTCATCTGGACACATTAGCCCTGACTCCCAATATCGAAAGTGTCAAAGGTCAGTGCTTACCATCCGAGGAGAGTCTAGGACATCACTATGCAACTAAGCCCCCTCTGCGGTGACAAAAGTGTTCAATTCTATTCAATGCTATGCTGTCCCATGACGCAGCCATGAGCCACAGAGGCTACTGAGCACTTAACCAGTTACAGACTAGCCCAGTAGAAGAACTGAGTTTTTAACTTTGTTTAATTTTAACTAAAGTTAAATAGCCACAGGTGGCTAGGGACTACTGGTTTTGACAGCACAGACCTATGATTGATCTCATAGGCTTGTTTTGAAACTTCACCAAACTACTCATTTACCTTTAATAGATCTTACGCACAGGAATTAGGTAAGTGTGATACCAGATCCAGCTCTTGCTGTGTGCCCCGTCTCTCCTGTTTCACTTTAACTATCTGACGTTATCTGTTTAGCATCTCTATGCTAATCAGAAGCTCCACCAGGACAGTGCCAGGCCTGCCCGTCCTCGCTCCATCCACGCTTGGCATCCGGCCCACACACAGCACACTCTCCATTAACACTTGTGACCTGTCAGACCCCAGAGAAGCAAAGCAGAAAGGAAGTTCTGTCGTGCTCGGATTATGCATGGACAGGAGTTCCCAGATACTTGAGTCTCATTTTAAGGGCAATTCTAAATTACAAAGATCAACAGTGTTCTTGGTAGTTAGCCTAAATTTCCCTCACATTAATTTCCTCCTATTCATTACCCACACAAAAGTAAACACTAGTCCTCATGGAAGGATTTACATGTTCAAAATTAACTTTTTATCAAAACTTTATTATTTCATTATTTTCTTAAAATGAATCACTTCTAAATCATTATGGATTCTTTTTATGCTTCCCTGAAAAATAATTTTAACTCACTTGTAGCACTCAGCTAATACAGTTCAGAAGCTAAACACAGAATAACCCCTGTGTTAGGTTAGAAATTGTCTATACCATCTTCCTGACTACTTTGCTTACAAAACAAAGGCGATCTATAAGTAAAAGCACCCACATTCATAAAACATGTATATATACATACAGACATCCGTCACATGAACACATTTACATCTGCGCACAGACATACACACTATTGGCCTTCTAATTATCAGGTCCTTTATTTCCTATACCTAGTTCTACTCTTAAAGCCATGCCATCACTGTGGTCAAAAAGAACTGGATTGGAATTCTAGCTCTTCTACTTTCTAGATAGGCATTTTTTGGTAAATTACTTAAGCCCCCTGGACCTCAGCTTCTGTATCTAAAAAAAAAAAAAAAAAAATCCAATTCCATGAGGTCTGTTGAGACAATTAAATATACACTGACCACAAAAGTAACCAGGAGAGTGCTAGGTGCAAAGCAGGTGTCTGTTTACTGAATGGACGTTCATCGGCTTCTTGAACCCCTTTCAGAGGCTGACAAACTCCCTAAGAATGGGCGAGAGTTCCTTATGTTCCAGTCTAAGGTGAACAGGGACCAAAGATTAAAAGGCAGATCTAAGGGCAGGCTGAGATCAGAAATTGAACAAACAACAGAATGAGATAAATCACCATCTTAGGAAAATGAGGTAACTCATTGTAAAAGAAAGACATTTCTGATGCCTGATACAGAATGATTAAAAGGCCTCTCTCTGCTCTTTGGAAAGAGTTCAACTCAAGTTACCATTGTAGAATCAAAATAGTTTATATATTCCGTAACCATGGCTAATCTATGGTCTACGAGTCCTTAAAGTATTTGAGATCACAAGACCACTCGTGATTCAGCCTCCACACCTCACGTTTGGTCAGTCTGATCTCTAGTGCCTTCACCTATTTTAGAACTTTTTCAACACACAAGACAGCAGACATAAATATAGACCTGAGCTACATAGCAGCTTTAACAGTTTGTATAAGGAATCCAACAGTATGTAGCAATAAAGTCCTCCTTTAAAAATCAACCCCTGTATTTCATTGCTAGCCTCCCTAGTAGGGAGGTGGGTGGAGTCAAGATCCTAACAAATCATGTCAACAGGAAAGAAGGGAAGGTTGCGGCAGACGCCCCATACCTCAGCTTCCTGCAGGGTCCCATGGTTTAGGCACAACATGTCAGGGCAAGTGATGGGAGACCCACATCCTTCTCGGATTGCCAGCTGCATGTACTGTTTCAGGCACTGGAGTTGAAAAGAAAAAAGACAGCAGTTACCCCCCATTCCAGTAGCACCAAGGCTGCATGACAGACCCACCAGTGGCTCTTCCTTAATTGGCTGTTCTGGGTTCTTGTACTCAGGAAACGTAAGTTACCACAAGTGTGAATACTAAGAGCCATCACTGTGGAAAGAATGCAGAGATAGGCAGTTAATTATGCATGATTTCATCCTGAGTTTATTCAAGTCAAGGGCTTGCTTATTCAAGAATGCTCCCACATCTCATCCACCATCAGCTGGGAGGAGAAGAAACACTTGTGCACACACGGCAAAGGCTTTCTTCTTATTTTATTTTATTTTATTTTTTAACTTGTGTGACTTCCGAATTCCATTTTTATCTAGAGGCCCCCTCCTTCCAAGTTGAATGGAATTCTGTGACCCTGCCACAAGCTACTGGAGCAGAATCAAAGTAAGACTAAGGCCATGACACATCTAGGAACGTGCTTAACAAGAATAGACAGTGTCGACTTGAGAAAGTCAGGGGGATTTCTGTTGAATGGAGACAGCAAAGAATTTGGGGAAATGAGAACCACACCTAACTGAGGCCTTGGTGGAGAATTGACAGAGGGGGATTGAGTAGAAAAAAAGACAGTGGCAAACTGAAGAAGGAAGAAACTGAATTTTAAAAAAGAAACCCCAGAGGAAAAGAGGGAGACCTCAAGCACAGACTGCCACTCCCCGTTGCTTCTTGTGCCTGGACCTTGGGCTGTTGGGGAAGACATGAGACTGACCAGGAATGTAGGAGAACCGACATTGTCACGGAGACCTCCAGCATCTCCTCTCTGCCTCCCAAGCCAGCCTCACATCCCACAAGAAACTGGAGGCCTTAGAGTAGTCCCCTTCTATCCAAGGGCTCCACACATTCCAACTCAACTAAACTTGGTCAAAAATATCCAGAAAAAAAAAAAAAAAGTTATGTTGTTGCTGACATGTATTAAACAAGTTAGAACTTTGATGTTTGGGATTGTTTGGATATATACACAGATCTCTTACTCTTGTCATTATTCCCTAAACAATACAGTATAACAACTATTTATGCAATATTCACATTATATATTCATAGGATGTGTGTATGTTATAAGCAAATACTGTGTCATTTTGTATAAGGGACTTGAGTATCTGTGGCTTTTGATATCCACAGAAAGTCCTGGAACCAAACCCTGCAGATACTGAGGGGCCATATAGTTCCGGCAAATAAAATTAGGAAATCTGAAAACTGGCTCCTCACTTTCTACCTATTTGCTCAAGATTGATGAGCCTTTTTCTATTTGCAAGACAAAAAACAAAAAAAAAAAAAAGTCCATCTCAAATGTTCGAGGAGTGCATTGCCCAAAAAATACATAAGCTCGTCAATAAAGTCATGACTCTTACAAAATGATCTGTTTTTCCAATTTATACATTTCTGTGTCAGCCTGCTAGGTTAAAATTTTTTTCCATGCACCATTCAGTAAATCATTACATGAAAGTCTATGCTCAGAATATTTCTGACATGATGGTGACATCTATGCCTTTCATTGACCTTTTTCACTCATTTTCTCCATTTGAAAAGTAAAACCAGCATCACTATCATATTATTTTTAAAAAATATGTATTCCTCTGAAGTGACTCTACAGGTCCTGGTGAATCAGCAACCATGGCCAACCTTTAAGGCAGACTTGTTTTCCTGCCAGTGGTCAACAGCCCCCTTCTCCAAGGAGTTGATTTTTTTCTATCACAGCAAAAACTAGAAAATAACCTCACTGTCTAACACAGAACACTGAAATGAATTTTGGTAAAGGGGATGGGGCAGAATCATGAAAAACATTTTCAAATGGTGTTTAAAGGCCTGGGGAAACATCTATGATTTAGTACAGAGAATAAGCGATACCTGGGAGCAGGGGTAGTCTTCAGTCGCTTTTCCCTTGTGACTGACCTCAATAGAGACACTAGATTTTTCACTTTCACTTTCTTCTTCAAGAGAAGGGTAAACAATTGCTTGCTGTAAGATTCACTGTGCTAAGCATGCTCTCCGGCTCCAGGAACAGTGGGATCAGCCAGCAAGGCAACAGGAGGGAGAACTGCATTGGGCAGGGAAACCCCAGAGGGACAGGAAAGGGGCTCCCAAAAGGAGTGATCCCAAGGGACAAATACGTCAGTGATGTGAAGCCGGCCCGCTCGCTCTGCTCCTAGGGCCTCTGGCCTCCCATCAGCCCAGTGAGTTCCGGAGCCACTGCCCAGCCTCATCCCAACTGCACTTACAGAAACTGCGGGAAACAGACTGCAAAACAATGCCGTCTCTAGGCTCAGGGAAAGGCAGGTGAGGAAAACAGTAAGCGGTGCCATGAAGTTCAGACCCTTCTAGCTGGGGTTCAGAGCCAGGAGACCACAGGAAAACGACTCTGCCTTTGACCCAGACCTACATCCCTTAAATCTTTAAAATGAGAACAATAATACCTGTTACAATTACCTCTCAGGGTTTAAAACACTCCCCCACCACCACCACACACACATACTCACCCCTGAAATTTTATCTATCAAGCCCCTTCTAAATTTACAAACTGCAGAATATTAGGTCATTTTTTTTACTGTCTTCACTTGAACTTAGACTTTCTATCAAAAACATTGTGGGGAACTGTTAATCCTCTGGCCTTCTGAGCTATCCTTTCTCTACTCCCTGCAGGGAGCCAGTTAAACCACTTAGGATGGAGCTGCAGGGACAGAACAGAGGTTCACATCAGAACTCCCCACACACCCCTAGGCAAGCTTCTCCTTAGAACTATTTTGGTCTATAAAATAGTTGAGTGTCAAATAGGAACCAGAGACACCATGTAAGTCTTCATAAACCAAATATAGATATAAAAAAGGTAAAATCATTTAAACTTATACTGCAAATTTGTAAAGTTGAAATATAAACCTCCCCAAGAGCTTATAATGGAGGTTTCATTTGCTAATGCAATGTTCTTAGGTACACTGCAGATCGTGATTCATCGACCTAATGAATTTTGAAGCTTCCCACAAGCACACTCTTGGCTGCAAATAACACTGTGTGACCTATGATTTTAGGAGAGAAATTGGGGCTTAAACACTGACTACAGGGTTTAAATACATATCCTCTGGTTTTTATTCTAAGAAACACTTGTTCAAGATAGAGATCTGCAAGTGCACGATGTTCAGTAATCTTCATGCACAGGCACTTGACATGCCATCACGGCATGCATTTGGAAAACATTTAGTCCCAGTCATTGTGTCTCCCTGAATTTTCAAGTATCCCAGGTTCACTGTGTGTCTTCCATTTGCTTGCGCTGAAAACCTTAGTCTCAAACCCTCCCTCTCCTCGTCCATACCTCTGACTAATAAAGCACAGAAGAACTGAAAACACTTGAAAGAAGCCCTGTGCATGTCACACAAACCAAGCAGGTAATTGGCTACCAATTGTGGAGAAAAAACTGGTGTCTAGCCTGTAAGTAAAGGTAGGGAAACAGAAAAAGAAATTCCCATCAATCATATTGTTTAGACTGCATTTCATTAAACAATAACATTATGCAGATATCTAAAACACAATTTTTTTTAACAGCTAACAAACTCCAAGGGAAATGTTTCAAACAATAGATTTCAAAAATCCAGATAACCCAAGAAAGAAACAACTTTTTCTTTTGAAAAGACAACATTTTACTTAAATGTACTTTAAAGACCAGAAGGGTCACATGTAATAACAAAGATTCTTCATGACCCTCAAGGATGTAGATACCCAACAACTGTTGATTCAGATGCCTCCTGTGGAATTCCTCAGTGGAATTTTTCAAGTTTCTTCTAGAGCCATTTTGAGGGGTGATAGTTTCCAGTGTATCATGGCCTTCTTCATAAGCTATTCTTAGGTATTATGGTGGGCTTGGTAAATGGTCACAAAGTTAGGACAAAGCTTCTATGTTCCCACCCCAGAATAAACATGGGGTGGGGAGATATATATATATATATATATATATACACACACACACACACACACACACACATTAATTTGCTCCACTGTTCCTCATTCTCTATCCCTAGATTATTCCTTTCTTAAGATTTAAAAAAAAAAAAAGTATTACAATGAACAGTGAATGGAAATGGGTGCCAACAATTGCCTCTACATGTTGGGCAAGATGTCAACCTCTCTGGCTACAATGCTCCTAGTTTACATTATGGGACAACCACCTGCCTTGCCTGCTCACAGGGAAATGGGGAGTCCCCCATGAACGTGCATACATGAAAATACTCTGAAAAGCGAAAGAGATCTGCAAAGACAACACGATTGGAGGATGCAATCGATGCTTCTGAAAGGTAGACAGGCAGGCCAGCAGAAACGAAGGTCCTCAGACACACAGAACCCTGGGAGATTGGCCCAGGAGAGCAAGCAGGGCAGGTGAGAACAGGTTTTGTTGGAGGGTGGGGGCTCAGAAAGGAGGTAATGGTGCTAACGGTTGTCAGTTTAAGTGGTCCCTGCAACAGGGTCTTGGCAGCTTCTGGATGCAGAATCCTGAGGTCAAAGGACTGGCAGACCTCCTGAATTGAGGCCGAGTTGGTGAACTGCTACTTTCTTAGTGTCTCATGACTAACTCAGCAGAGACGGGGAGGGAAGGTGATGAGAGAAAGAACCTGTAGGCCCAAACCCATACCGACTTTGAACATCTGTCTTGCTTTTTATCATTCCCGGTACAATGTGTACATTAAAGTAGATGTTCCAAGAAAATGCAGATGGACATTTCTCTGCCCCAGTACATAATTTCTTCACAGTACCTCCAGTGTGTTCTACAGAACATCTCAGATTGAGGCCAATCAGTAGTCTGTTTATTCCAGTTGGAATTATAATCGTCACACATGATCCCAGAACAAAGCCTTCTTTGTGGGATACTGTTGAGTTCAATTATTGGTACAACTCATGATGGCATTTCTCCCAATTCAAACGTCTATTAACACGCCAAAAGCAAGTCAACAATGTATAG